CAGACCTAGATATAAGAACATGCTGTACCAATTACAATTGAAGATTAAATCATCACGTATACATCTAGGTTATAGAAAGTACAGATGAGAATTCTCCATTCTCCACTCATGAATCTCCCCTTACATACAAATACTTGTACACAAAACTCCATCTACTCAGGGTATTAGTGCTGTGATCATCACCTGGCTACGAGGACTACATCTTTACAGCATTTGATCAGTGAGGATGTGGGCATCAGCATTTCTTGCTAACAAGCTTAATGTAGCACCAAGAAGAGACCTACTACAATAATTAAATGATATCCAATTTTGTTGCAGTTGAAAAAAGTTTCAATATTTAAAATAATTTAAATGTGATGTGATTTTTTAAATCACATCACATCATTTCTCAATGATATTTTGGGAATGTATGAAGGAAAGCTCAATATTGAAACTTCCCTATCATTTTAATAATTATGAAAATCATAGTGTCTTAAAACATTTCATCTGACTAGAAGGTTTTGCAAAAGCTTATTACCCAAGTCTCACCCTCACGAAATGAGCGTTCATGCCCACTCTACACAACGAGACACTGAGTTCCAGAGTTGACCCTTTCCCTTCCAGATGTCTTCTATAAATGCCAGACAACAACCATGCTCATTAGCGCTGGCAGGGAATTAGGCAACTTCATCTTCTGGATTTAAGTGTAACAAGAAAAGCCTGTGCAGTTTTCTGCCAATGCTAGAGATGAAAGTAGGTCAGTCTGCATTATTTCTTTGGTTAAACGTGAGGCATTTGCCACCTTCAGCCACAGCCTTTGCAAGTTAATCACTTCTAGAGGGCATTTCAAAAAGCAAGAGAACCTGCCGGGTCACAGTTGCGTAAGGTTTGCTATTGCTGAATCAGAAACAAAATACAGACACAGCAGGACAGATCACACGTGGCATCTCATCTATTCTTGAAATTCTCTCCAATTTTCAAGTAAGACAATACAGAATTCCTACATGAGCAATGAAAAACAGTGAATCCTGGTGAAATTTGGACTGGTGTACAAAACACAGGTGGTACAGCATAGCTGAGGACAGGCAAGACTAGCAGGTATGCCAGATGCCATTACTTCAAGCCCTCTAGATAAGAATAATGTCCTAGATGAGTATTTCAAGTGACTGCTGACACACACACCTGGGTAAGCTCCCAGGTAGCCTCTCTGATCTCCAAGAGTGCATTGCTCAAGTTTCAGCAAAGATGCCAGCAACTACAGAATCATGAGGAGTGAAACAACCCCTAAGCTGTAGTCTCCACAACTGAAGGATACCTGGTCTAGTGGAAGATGTCCCTGCTCACTGCAGGGGGGTTGGACTAGATCTTGAAAGGTCCCTTCCAAACCATTCAATGATTCCATGACACAAGCAGTCATCTCAGCTAAAACCTGGAACTGTTGAGTTACAACCTTTAGATTTCCAAACAGAAGAACCTTTGAAGAGTATTTTTATTTATGCACTTAAGGATAAACTGACATTTAACTTGTGATCCAGTTTTCCAGCTCTCCTTTCTGGAGACATAAGTTCATGTTTGCAAGTTCAGACAACCAAGTAGATGGATAAGCATTTAATCTTTTAAAACCTTCTGATGTACCTGAGATTTCAGTTACCCCATCCTACACTCCCCTGATGACAGGCTGGGACTGATGTTTACCAGGCTCAGCAAGCCCTCAGCCCCACACAGACATGACAACACAGGGCTGTTGCGTGCAACCCATGCTCAGAAAGGCAACTCCTCTTCATAAAGCAGCTCTGCTCAAGTCCTGGTAGATATTTACATGAGCTGGATGTCTTTTGCTGTACAGCAGCTGCAGTATCCTACCTTAGAGCTACCATGGCCCATTACATCTGTGTCCAGGAAGACTGCATGCACCAAAGCACCTTCCTCCATCTCAGCACCATCCTCTGCAAAAAAGGGTCATTCTGGGGTACTTTACTCAGAGCAATTTTCACATCCACATCAAGAAAAGCAATTTTTTTCCCCCATTTTAAGCTAAGCTACATGTATCCTGCTAGAAACCCACTTTGATGGAATAAATTAGTCAGAGCTTTTGCCTCCTCAAAGATTCAGGCAAAACATATTCTCCTTGCCAAGCCTGAAAAAGGGGGGGAAGGCTCAGTTGGCATTGCTTTTTCAATAGCCAAGTTGAAGTATTGTTCGATTCCTCATGTCTTGGTAAAAAAAATCATATTTAGGAAATTTCAAATTTGTCTTTTGGTTAAATTTTCCTGCAGAGTATAGTGACTGCATTTCTCCAGGGAGATGTCTACTTGCTTTTAAAATAGCTTCTTGTGTAATAGCTCTTTACTGACAGTTCTATTGATTTTATATATTACCAAATCTTGTTTTCAGAAATTCTCTTCTGTAGGACAAATTTGGAAATGAGAGCAAGAACCAAGTGTCTTCACATTTAGATTTCAGTGTAAAAAAAGTAAATGTCACAATGCAGATCCTTGCCTCATATGACAACTAGCTACTGCTTAATTCCTTCCATCACCTTAATTGCCATATATTACATACAACCCACAAGAGCTTTCTCATCTCTGCATCTGCTCAGGCTGGCTGTTCATTACTTTAACAAAAATGACTTTTCCTTTCTAACACTGAAAGACTAAATGAGCAAGTACAAAAATGCCATCACTGTGAGCCACAACCTTAGCAGCAAAAAGGGCTGTATGCTTGCAAGAAGAGATCCTTGTGGGGTTTTTTTCCCCCTCAGTAAGAGAGGAAGGGGGAAAAAAGCTGAAAATCCCTTGGCTCCTGTTCCAGAAAACCACCTCAAACCCTTCACATGAATTATGTGTAGCAAGTAAGAAGGTTCTCCTGGATTCTGGCAAAAGGTCTTTGCATATTACACAACCAAGCCCCCAAAGCCTAACCAAACATGGAGCAACACCAACAGAAACATCCCTCTCTCCTCTGAAGGACAGAAGGGATCACAGGCAATTTTTACAGCCAGGGACAAGTCAAATTTTAAAAAAATCATAATTATAAATAAAATACAACATGCAGAGCTTTTCATTTACAGCTCTCAAACTAGGTTACCAAAATAAATAAGACAAATGAGATTTTTAGAAGAAGAAACTCAGTTAAGTGACATACCTGGAGCTGTGTTGCTCACCAGGAACAGTAAGTAACAGAAAGCCTACCTGACTAATTCCAATACTTCTTTCCTCAGTCACTTGCCAGGCATTCAAAAGCCCAGGATACAGTTTTTAGGGCCACACAAGAAATTGGATTTTGCCCCTGTGTTTCTGGCAAGTCACCTGCATGACCATTAGTCTAACAAAATTTGCCTTGATCCGAAGTGACCGCCCATACACAGCCCAGTGAGGCATTTTGCATATGCTCATTAATGGCTTTTGTTGTATTTTGTCTGTCTTTCCCTCTGAAAACATCTTCAACAACTAAGTCTGGATGCCAAAGAGATAACAGATTATTAGATAAGAGATAATTTGGGGATTAAATCAGTTAACTGCAAGAAGAATGGTTTGCTTACTAGATATGGCCCACTAATGAAGAATTTTGCTCTTTATTAACTAAAAGATATTGACATTAAATAATGTATAACACAGGGTCTTCCTAAGTGTACACTTCAGATCTAAGCACAGGAGTAGCCAGGATGCTTTTGAAAACTTCTACACCAAAAAAATCCATGTAATGCTCCAAGTCCTTGCTTCTCACTTCACCATTCTGGCTCCCATAAACACAAACTTCCCTGGAATTCTCCTTCTGGGGTTTTGGGTTCCTCCTTCTCCCTGAGAAAAAACATCTGAGTGAACAACATTTTCAAACCATACATTGAGCCTCATGTGACTGAATGCAGTTGACCTAACTGGGGGAAAGCACTGTAAATGTATTCTTGTGCCAGGGAGTTCAACCAGCAAAAAGACATGATGTTTTTCAGCTAAAAACATGGTGATATGTGTTTCATTAGGAAAGAGGAAAGCAATGAAAAAAGACACACATTAGATGGAAAGTGAAAATATTTTAAAGGGCAAGGGGAAGTAAAGACCAAGAAGACTGTTTCCAAGGAAGAACAGTCAGTAGAATGAGAGGAGAAACAGGAACAGAATGAAAATCCTACTGAATTGGTATGAATACAGAAAAAAGAACAGGAGGAAATTAAAGAGAATAAGAAAGTAATACAGTAAAAAAAAAAAAGGAAACCAAAACAATATTACTTGTCTATTTTTGCTTTTCCCAGTGATACAGCTACAGCCACAGAAACTTCCACTTTACATGCACTGCAAAAGTGAGAAAATCTGCTGGTGACATCCCAGGTAAAAAATGAGTTGCCTGTTTTCCACTCACAGGAGGATATTAGCCCAGCCTGAAGAAATTCCTAATGCATTGCATGCTCTTCCAGCCATCCACCTCACACACCACTGCACAGCAAAGCTGGGTTTGTGGCTTCCCAAGCAGGACTGCATCCATCATCAAGCAGCTCAGACAGCATTCCTGGGCTTTGAGACTTGCTGAGCAGAACTTCAGCACTTAATTCTTCCTCCTACAGCCACAAAGGAGAGCAGCCAGGAGACACTTGGCCGTAGAGATACCACAAACAGGCATTGTCTCAGACCTAAATAAAAATTTTTCACAAAGTAGTATCTCAGGAGAGTGGATAAAGATTTACAGAGCTGAACCTATCTGCATTCATAACTCTACCTTTCACTAACATCACCAGATTTTGAGAACACAGCACACAGCTTAAGTTCCATAAAAGAACCAAGACCAAAGTGTCCTCTGGAAAAGCTGGTCTAACACCTGAGCTTACATACAACTGGACACTGTGTAGAAGCTTTGTGGTTCTCCAGACTAAGCAAGTTACAGCAGCCACTACATTGCTTCCATCAGTCATTTCCAGACCATTACAGACAAACCCTAACTTTGTTTCTTTTCATGTTGCTTCCAGAAAGGAAACATCTAAACCCTACCGTGGTACCGTTAACTATTGTCCTCTGCGAGATCTGAAAAGCATGAAGGCTGTAGCTCTCTTCATTTGTCTTGTAGGATCAGCTTTTGCTCTTCCAGTAAGTCCTCATCATGCTATTACTACTGGGCCCTTAACTTCCCATTCTGTGAATACTCTATGTTATTCCATTAACTTGTGCAAGATCTTTATTTACATGCAGACATTGAATATATTTGTCTATTCTAGACCCATCCCTTCAACTACAAACCCAGAACCCATGGACAGAAAACTCCAGAACAGGTTTGTTGTTCTTTTTCTTTAAACATTAAAAGGTAACCTATATTCTTAATCTCAAATATGTAAAATACAATAGCACATGTGTCGTGGTTGGCAAATGGATTTAGGTTGAAAAAATGTAGGACCCTTCACCCCAAGAATGAGTAGCAAGCACCTCATGCCTTGCATATTACATAGCTAGAAACAGAAGAGGACAAAATCTAAAGTTCATAACAGAAGTTTCACTTACTTGAGAAGTTTATACCTTAAGTGAATCCCCACATACAATCATTACACCCATACTCATACAAGCAATGAGCTCCACCAACAGAACTTGCTGTTATCGCTGCTCCAAAAAAACAAGGAGGACACTAACCTAAATTTATCACACCAAGTGATCAGATGCAGCCTCTAAGTCTGCACATGTCTCTAAGGTGTATGAATTTTAAGGTGTAAGTTACTAGTCTCTAAGATGTAAGAATTTTAGCCACTAGACTCTTCATTATTCACCATGTTATTCACCATTAGATGCAGCTCACCTTGGACAAGTACACCAGGGCTGACAAGCCAGATCCCAGCCCAGATGGTAATGAGACAGACGACTGCAGCAGCCCTGTGCCACACATGCATGCTAACAACAGCTCACAATTCTGCATTCATGGTTGTCCCAAATGACAATTCTTTTTTACTGCACTGTTCTGGGGAGCATTTGTGGTTTAGATTCAATGGACCTTGGCTCCAAGCCAATGAAAGTTTTGGAACAACTAAATTCAGAGCATGCTCTGTAGTAATAAACGTAAAATCCCAACTCTTATGCTAAGCTTTTTTTTTAATTATGAGTTATATCCCACTCTGTGCCTCTTTCCAGATGCATTTCATGTCCATCTGGATGGTGCTCTGAATTCTGAAAACCAAAAAATTAACTTTTCCTAACAAAGTATCCAGCAGAACAAATTATGGTATCAACATTTCTTTGCAGCCTACAGCTGTCTCCCAGTAACAACTCATACAGAAGACACTTGCACCAGTGCCAAGCACTGCAATACCCAACAAACCATCCGTTCCAAAACAATATGCAACTTCTATTCAAGGCCAGTTGTCCCCTAACAGTCACTAATTACAGCCACATGGACTGAAATTTGCCATCATATTAAGTGACCCAAGTGTCTTCACAAGCAACCACGTTCTAAAAGCTTATTTTACCCTGGGGGCAAAAGTACAACAACAACCAGCAGTGGAAAGCCACATCCAGGCACATCTCTGCATTGAGGTTGTGGTGAATAAAGGGGCTTTTGGTCAAGACATGAGCCACATCTTCATCAAACTATTGCTTCAAATACAACCACCCATAACAGACAATCTTAATGACTCTTTGGGCTTATATTTAAACACACTTAAACCCCCTCCCAGTTCTTGAAATTTAATTTTTCAGATGTTTTAATATCAGCTTGAGATGCTTGGTAAACACAGAGAGGTCTTCAAGAAATGGGCATTTAATCTAGAAAAGCTCTTCACTGAATTTCTGTTGGATCTAAGCAAACATACAACCTTTCCCTGAAAAAATCACAGCTGGAAATGACATAGTGAATATCAATGCCTAGGACTTTTCCTGCATCAGCAAGTACTCTAGGCAAAAGACAAACCTGTAAAACATTCAGATAACACCTTGACATTAGGAAATGGGATACAGCTGATCTGCCAAGAGTCAAAGTAATATTTCTAATCCTACTTGAAAAAAATTTGTATAACTATTTGTTAGTTGAGTATTTGCTTCCAAGCAGTCATGGCTCTGCCCACACTAAAGCAAATGCTATTCCAGCAACCTGGGCCCTAAGAAGGTCTCATCTTTGTGAATAAACCCCCAAAAAGCTTTAGGGAAAATCAGCATCAGGTGCTATATATACACACTAAGCAACACTGAACTTCTATAGGTGTTGTTCAGAAATACATTGGATGTTGCTGCTATTGAAAGTCCCTGTACTCACCCAGCAGCTGCTGTGACACAAACAGCAGCAGAAAGGCAATTGCTGCAGCAAGAGCTAACAGGTATTTTGGTATATATTTTAGTATATTCTTTCTCCTCAAGCATTTGAGCCTTTGCCACTCAAGTTACTAGTTTTGCCGTTGGTTTGACAGCATGCAGAAAAACCAAATCCACTCAGCAAACACCTACAACTCCTGCCAGTGAGCTTACAATGCAGTAGTTGCCACCAATAAGGACAGCTCCTGATGGATTCAGCTAGGAAGCAAGGATGTATCAGACTCAAAGTAGATTAATACATTGATTACAACATAATTAAGATGCAGTGCACTCCTCAGGAGTTATTGCCACAACACCTTATGAAAGGTGTTCTCTCTCTCCCCCTGCCCCTCTCTTCCCAGGCCTCTCATTTATCTGGGTATTAAGATAAGTATCAGATAGCCCTTCTCTGAGCTAAGTGATAATTACCACAGCCTACAAGTGCCTGAAGTTTTGACATTAAATTACTAATGAAGCATTAGCTTTGAGCAACCTGGTCTAGTGGAAGGTGTCCCTGCTGATGGCAGGGGGGGTGGAACTACATGATCTTTAAGGTCCCTTCCAAGCCAAACCATTCTATGATTTGGAGATTCCCCAAGACACCCATATGTATTTACCTCCTATGAGATCTTGAACAGAGTTGCACAGACTTGTTCAGAAACTCCAGCAATGAAAAGGGGCAGGTAAACAAATTAGCTGAGAAATAGAAATAACATCAGCTGTGAACTTGATACTCTGGGCTAGTTAAGAGGATCATTTACAAATAAAAGCAGATAAAATCAATGTCTTGCTTTGCAATACAAAGCAAAAGTAACATTGCATTGACTTCAGATAAATTCTAAGATTTCTTAACCTACTTATTTATTTTTTCTTTTTTAAGACTGAAGATAAGCATCCTGAAGCCCCAAAGGAAGAGAACATTGGGTATGTTGACAAGGGTGATTTGCTGCCCAGTCACAAAAATCTAAAACCAGAGGTATCAGCACCAGATGATGAGCACAGGGATGGGCCCCAGACCACTAGAAGACAAAGAACTAGTAGCGAGTATCAAGTGAAAAATAGCCTAAAAAGTATCAATTTCCTTGAGCTGCACAATAAAGCAGGTTTGGCTTCTGACAACCAGGACAGTGACTCTGGAAGCAGCGGCAGAGAACAGTCCAGCTCTGAGCATTACCAGTTCAGGAGGCATGAGAAACACAGCAATACAGCCAATCCACACCTTCTGGGCCATGGAGAAAACCCACTGGATGCTCTCAGTCTTGAGAGTGAGCATAACACATGGAAATATAATAAAAATACAGTTGGTCTCTCTGAAGAAAGCAGTGAAAGTGATGAAGAAGGAGGTATGGAAGAAGAGGATGAGGAATGGGGAGAAGAAACCAATTACAGAGATATGAAGCACAAAGGTCACCAAGGTAACCGATATAAAAGAGAGCAAAATGAAGACAGTATGCAATCTGATGAAATCCCAAGAGATTCCAGTCAACCAATCCAGATAACCAAGAGACACGGTGAGAAATTTGACCTAGAGGAAGAAGAGAGGGAAAACAGCCAGAAGCCTTATGGAGAAGAAATCCTCCTCTCTCAAAAAACCCAGAATGACAAACAACAAAGCCAAGAGAAGACAGACAATATTCAAGTAAACTATCAGAGTGATCATGACACAGTGGTGAAAAGACAAGATACAGAGGACAGTAACGTTGATGATGATGATGATAGTCATGACAGTGGTGATGTTGATGGCAAGGAAGATCTCAGCAATACTTGGAAAGAAGAAGCCTATGAGGAAGAAGAGAAAATCCATAGTAACCACCAGAAGAGCACTAGTACTGAGCATGAAGGGGAAGGAACCACTGATGATGACACTGTAGTTGATAGAGAGACCAAGGATCACCATGATGTCAAGATTAAAGGCCTTATTCTCTCTGAACAAGATGATTACGATCATGAGCCACCTAATTCTGACAGCAAGCAACAACTGGAAAAAAGTAGCTCTGTTCAGAGCATGAATTCAATGGGAGGGGAAGATAAGGTAAATACTCTTTAAAATAAAGTTTGAATACTAGAAAAAGAGGGGGAACTAGTCCCAGATTTAAATTCCTGATGACTGAAAGGAAATTTTGGATAAAACTAAGTATAATTTATTAATATGCACAAGTCTCATCTCCCCTTTTATTCACTATTCACCTAGTTCATGCCATGTCACTTCACACATCACATTTAGATGAATTGTATCACAAAGAAAGCGAGCACAACTCATGTAACAGCTTCAGCCCCAGGGGGCTTGTAATGAAGCAAATAAACATGGATACACAGACAGAAAACCTGGAATCCAGTCTCAAGCTGACCAGGAAAGCCTGTTCACTCTTCTCTCCCAAAGATTTTAAACACTACCATACAAAAGTGAATAGCTTGGAAAGGCAGGGCTAGAGTCCCTGGAATAATTACCATCCTAGTGGTTAGGACACTTTCTCACAAGATGAAGGATGTGGGCTTTGTCCCTTCAGACAAAGGAAGATGTTGCATCCAGATCTCCTGTACCCCAGTCAGTCATTAAATAACCAGTGGACTGTCAGGGGTGTTCTTCCAAAGAAAGGAGTGAGTTCTATGGCTGTTAAATAAGATCTGTAATATTTTTTAAAAATGACAGGAGGCATCCATCTGAAAAAGGGCAGGTACCTCCTCACAGCACCAAAGAAGGATCAGAACTGAAGATGCACCCTCCCCTTCTCCTCCTGCTTCATGTGTCTGGCCCGGCAGCTCACAGTGCTGCTGCTCCCAGGCACTCTTGAGAGGCAGTTCATGCTCACTGACCTGGAGGGCCCCGGTGCAAACTAAGATGTGAAGCACCAATTCCATCAACCTCAAGGCACAACGCTGCTGTATGTCAAGTACTGCAGAGCCTCCAGGTGCTCAGGCCTCACTGAGCTCCTGTTTCTCTCTCTACCTCCTGCTTTCATGCACTTCTCATGCATTTTTGCATAGCAACTTTCTGCTGCAAGCAAAGCAAACTGTGCCTCAGTCAGCTCTATGTACGTACCTGAAAAATATATTGTCCAAGTATTTTGGTTTTTTTCTCTTCCCAAGACTGACCACCACTTGATTATGTCTCTGTGACCGTACAGGTTAAGACTACAGGCAGTTCCTATGGTGAGATGCAAAGTGAAACCAACAGGAGTGAGAACCCTTTCCTAGGTAAGCCACAAGCAAAGCCATCATGCAACTGCTAACTCTCTGCAGCTGGGGAATCTGCTGCTCTGCATTTCTTTTCTCTTTGGCAGCACATGATTTCACATGACTGAACTGTGCTTGTGCATAATCCTGCACCACAGTTACATTCCCAGAGAGTCCCTTCTAGACACTCTTGGATTTACTCATTTGTTTGTGAAAAACATTTGTAGACAATGCACATGTTCCTGTGTCAGATATATGGGAATGGGAATTACCTTAAAATGAAGCTGTTCAGTTTCAGAACAACATCTTGAATTCACCTAGGAGTGGGACAAATGCCAGTGCTGGATTCAGAAAGGACAGATGGGATACGTTTCACCAAAAGGAAGCTGGAAGGGAATGTCAGTTCTAGAAAAAAATAGCTGAGAAATTTATTTCCCCATCCAATTAAAACCTGGGACTGCCAGAAGTCTCACAGACACCCTCATTTTAAGTTTGGCTTGCTCTATTCAAGATCCAGCTGCATTTTAACTAACTGACAAAAAGCTCTTGAATCCTCAGTGAATACTGGGCTGCATTTTGCTCTAACTGTCAGGAGTATCTGACAGAAGCACTTGGCTTCATCCCATCCCCTCTAACAGTCTCTCCTTCTTGCTATGATCTCTAGACCCATGTAGGAACTTCCACTGCAAAAGAGGTAAAGTCTGCCATGCAGACAAACAAGGCAAACTCAGCTGTATTTGCCAAGATCCTGCTGCTTGCCCTTCCACCAAAGACTATGAGCGTGTAAGTATTTCATTCAAGTGCACAGCATGGGAGAAAGCCAACTAAAATATTTACAAGATAATACATTTCCCTGCTATTACAATAATTCTACCCTAAAAAAACATGCAAGTGGGTTTGGGTGATTCCCATAATTGTAGAAGTGTAAAGTACTCAAGCTCACTGACTAGAGTATGAATTCATGTAGCTATGTAGTACCTAAAGTGATTTGCTTCACTAAAGTCTCACAGGGATCACAGCTTTTCCCTGTCACTACAAGTTCTATTTATCCCTTTGATGTTTTAGAGCTTATACTGAATACTAGTACATATCTAGTGTAATAATCCTGTATCATCTCAGAAACTACATTACCACACACAAATAAATCCAAGTGGCTCAAAACTGGGTGTCTAAGTAGACAGCTAATCCTTACACAGGCATATAACCACCATTTACAATACTCCTGATCACATATATTCCCTGGGGGTATTCACAACTGCTACATCATATATTAATGCTATTTTTATTATTGTAATGCCTATATGAGTGACCACAATTCCTCTCAACACAGTGGTGGTGGGGGGGTGGTTTTGTTTTTCACTCCTCCTCTAGGTTTGTGGTACAGATAATAAGACTTATGAAGGCACATGTCAACTTTTTGGCACCAAATGTCAACTTGAAGGGACAAAAATGGGACGTCAGCTGCACCTGGACTACATGGGCTCCTGCAAATGTAAGGCTTGTTTTTTTGATGAAGAATTCACTTAGATATAAAGAGCCAGTAGCCTTAACCATCAGCTAGCCCCAACTTATTTTTCCTGTGCTCTCCTCTTCTGCATCAATTATTTGCTAATTAAGACCTTCAAACCCTAAACATGACTGAAAAGCCAACTTTTTCTACAACTAATGGTATTAAGCATCTGAATCCTAAAGACATCCCTCCTGTGCTTAGCCTAATTTGTTGTCAACCCTGTCTTCCTCCTGCACTGTTCTATATAATCCCATTACTATAGCATCTCAATATTTTTTAATATCTTGACCAGAAAACCAGTATTTACAGACAGTTAATAAATTAAAATGCTCAAAAAACCAAAACCACCCCAAAAAACTACCTAGATGCCAAATGCAAAAGTCAGGATCTAAAAGCCAGAACTGATTTCCAAGCTCTTCAACTGTTGCATATCCTGGGAGGAAAGTGCACTCTCAGCCAGAATATTCCTTGGCTGTTGAGAACTCTGCTTTCATGCAACTGACTGATAAGAGTTTTGCTACGTAACTCTGCTCAGAAGCTGCACAGATATAGAAAGGTTGTGGCTTGCACAACTGATTATGCATATGCACCAAAGAATTGTAGATTTATCATCAAACTCATTAGGTGTATTCCCAATTTTATGTATTAACAGCTCCATCAATTTGAAGCTTAACTAAGTTTGCTAGTGAGAATCAAATCTAACTGGGCTCAGAAATACTGGAATGTGGACTTAACAGATCACTTGCTAACAAAAGCTTTCCTTTTTGGCACAGACATCCCCCACTGTACTGATTATGAAGTGGATCAGTTCCCCCTCAGGATGCGAGACTGGCTCAAAAACATCCTTATGCAATATTATGAACGTGATCTGGATACTTCTGGATACCTCACTGAAAAGCAGAGGAGTAAGGTCAGTTATCCTTTTGAAATCAGACCATGCAGTTACATTGTTAGAACCAGACTAAACATCTGAAAAAGAGTGATTCATATCTTCTGAGTTCTCCCATTTCCTATGAGCATTCTCTTTCTGGTTCAGGCAATTCAGACTCAATTAGAAACACAAGTTGCAAAATACACTTACACGTCCCCTCGCGCTCATTTAAGCCAAGACACATTTCTGCTATGAATGTTCCTTTTGTCCAAGCAAATGTGAGCCAAGTGTATTACTCTGAAGTCAGTGTCTACAGACAAGAGGCAGAAGAATCAGAATTACTGTAACATCTAGATAAACATTGTTCACTTAAGAAGGCACGAAAGAGCTTCTGTTCAGGGAAGTACTTTGTGACCAACCTCTTGGAAAGATCAACTAATGTGTAGGTAAGAATGACCCAATTCATGCAGTCAGTGCCACTTTCTAAAGGACCTGAAACTAGAGCAGCCATAAGACAGAAGGTCTGGGTATGGATAACTGATTAGAGAACAGAATAAGAGGGAACAGCCAGCCAAGAGCTCACCTGTGGAGTCCCACAGGTAGAAAGGACTTGTGCCATTCATCTTTGGTAAGTGACCTTGAAGAGGAAGGTAGGGGGACAAAGTCTGCTGACAACACACAGGTGTTCAAAGGAAGGAAGGACTTGGACTCACCATGAAGAAAACTGCCCAAGGACCTCCTGAGAGCGAGTGACTGGGCAGGCACAGAACAGGACATGAGACAGAATTACAACATAGAGTTTAGGGGACCCTCATGGGGGCAGGGGATCCCTGCCTTGGACCAACCAGGAATAGCTCCTCTTCTGTTCTTGAGACACACCTTGTACTTGGCCATCAATATTTATATTTAGTATCTGAAAAAGGACTCAACAGTTAAGGGTGTCATTTGCACTTTTTAATCCAACCACAAACACTGTCCATTCACATCAAGGACTACAAAATTACACAAGTCTGATGCTCAGTTTTAAGAGAAAAGAGCTACTTTCTGTCATGCAGTAGATCTGCAGCATCACACTCTGTTGCCTTAAAACAGAGTAATCATCTGTTAACACTGGGCATTTTTTTGTTTTAGAGAAGGATTTATGTCAAGTGAATTGTTGACAGTAGTTTGTTTTTTAAGTTATAGATGCCATAACAGCCTAAAAAGCCAGAACTGTCAGGAAATATGTTAAGTTAAACCAAGACCTATGCTTGAGCAAGACCAAAGACTACTTACATAGTTACCAAGACAAACACTGGTCTACTTGGAACACCTCATACTAAATCATACGAATTAGATGATTTCTGAGATGGCTTATTTCACCCCAAAAGCCAAGTTGCTTGCCTGAGGACAGAAGACCAACAAATGTGATAAAATTGGTTTAATCTCCTACCAACCTGAGGCTACTGCCCTGCTTAGCTGGGTCTGATGACTAGGCCACGGGAATTTCACTTCTTTTCTAATTACTACCAAAGTTGACATGGACAGCAACAAAAATCATCTGGACTACTTGAGGCAAGCTTTTCATGCTGTGTATGGTCACTATCACTAAAACCCATTTCCTCAGCAGCATATTATGAAGTTTAATTTCTCCAAGCCACCTCCATCTTGGAGAGCTCTCTTCAGAACAGATCTTTATTCCTAATTTAAAAAAATATCAATTTCTCTGTTATCTTCAGGTCAAAAAAATCTACGAGAATGACAAGCGCCTCAAGGCTGGTGACCATGCAGTTGAGCTGCTCCTGCATGACTTTGAGAAGAATTATCACATGTATGTGTATCCTGTGCACTGGCAGTTTCACCAGCTTGATCAGCACCCTGTTGACAGGTAAAAAATTGTGGGTTCAGTTCCAATTTTCTGTTTAAGCTCAGGCTGGTTTTGTTTTCTAAACCACTCTAAGGATTCTCTACACACAGGAGCAGTCCCTCAGGTAATAGAAGCCAGTACCCCCTCTTCCTAAGGAGATGTTCATCTCTAACACAGAACTTCTTTCATTGTTTTGCTGAAACCATGTCTTAGGTCAGAACCTGCTATCCTCTTGCCTTTCATTATCATCATGTATTACACCTCAAGTTCCACAGTGTCTTCAAGAGCTACTAATGCCCTGATCCTGGAAAAAACCAAGGCTCATAAGTTCCTGTTATTACTGAAGCTAAGAGCAACAGGCTAAGTACGAAGGGCAGAGGCCTGTCAGCAATAATTCACTAGTGAGGTATCCATAGTTTTCAATTCATACTACAGAAGTTACTCAGTTTAAGGAGCAGATATGGTAGCACAGCACCAGTGTCACAGTTCAGGGGAAGCCCTCAGCTTCTGAGAATGTGACCCTGATTTCAGGCGTTTGTCACGACACTCGGTAGTGGGATCCATGTTTCAAAGCTCCAGGCCCTCAATACCTCATGCTGATCACACCTACTGTGTTAGAACATATCTAAGCACCTTCACAAGCTTGATCTCCTCAAGATTAATGGCAAAACTCCACCACTGATGAGTTGTGAACAAGTCACAGCAACATTTGCTCTAGAAAAAAATATTAGTGAGCAAATAGCAGTTAAAACATTTTAGTTTATCATGTATTATACATCATTGTAATGACCTGGGGACAGATTCACCACAGGGGTACAACAACAGAATCCATCAGGGCACCTCTGTCAAAGCCACTGTTATCTTCTAGCAGCTCAGATCATCTTTGATGATTTATTAATGAAACACAGCTCTACATACCTGCTCTTTCTTTCAGGTTATTAACACACTCAGAGCTCGCGCCTTTGAGAGCCTCCCTTGTTCCCATGGAACACTGCATAACCCGCTTCTTCCAAGAGTGTGATGGAGACCAAGACAAATCCATTGCTTTGAAGGAATGGTGCCACTGCTTTGGGATTAAGGAAGGTAAACCTAAAAGAACAGGCAGATGTACAGGGCAAAATGTTCCTATCAAGACTAGGCACATTCTCAGACCTCAACATACGGGAAAGAAATTGTAGCCAGAAGCTCACGGCTACTGTGCACCGAGGCAAATCGAACAGTAACGACCAGACTGCAAAAGGTGCAAGGTTCTGAATTGTTTTATAAAGACAGGACAAAGTCATCTTTCCCAGAAGATAAAATTTGGGAGGTAGTTTGTACTAAATAACAAATCATTCCTGCATGTTCTGCACATCTGGTTCTCAAGAAGCACTTTATTTTACCCTACAGTGCCAAAGGAAAGGCAAAGTGAGCTTGTACTTTTAAATCAACAGTCAAACCATATTGATTGGAAGTGCATTTAAAGATCTCAAGCCAAGTAGGGAAAACAACCAGGATCTCTCACTGATCAAGTACCTATGCTGACTTCTAGATTATTATATACAACACAAATGCTGTCATCACACTGCAGTTGCAGGGCTGACCTGTCAGATGCAACACATGCTCAGATGGTGTCCACCAGACTGTGTTGTGCATCAGGAGGCTTAGACAGAAGCAGGGACAGTTTCTGAAACCTAAATAGGACAGATATGTTTGTCACATCAAGACTTCTCTAGGATAGTGACAAGCTAGGTACTACTGTGCTGGTGATGTCTCTAGCATTAGGCAGCAGCTCAACAGAAGCTGTCATTACAGCAATTTGAGATTTACATGACTACATTCAACCTAAGGCATTCTCTCACAACTTACCTTCTGATCTAGCCCTGAGTGACAGCTGAACAACACTGCCAGTCATTAAATAAGGGGAGTAGTAGCACAGGTTAATCCTAGAACACTTACATGACAGAGAGTTTGGCTAAACACACTGAGTGAAGAAATGTGTATTAACTAATAACTACTAGTAACTCCCTAATTTTAAGGGGAGGCTGATTCTGGTCAGAGGTCAGACATGCAAAGGCTTCACTCTTCCCAGAATTTTTCCAGCTCTTCTAACAACAATTAACCAGTCACAAACCACACCTGGAAGTATGCCATGAGGAATTATACTACATACATACCACTGCCAATGATTGTTCAACCTAAGAGGGGTTTAGGGTCAGTTATTTGTGAAGAGGGGGGGTGGAAGGGATTCTTGGCTCACAAACAGATCAAGGAGACCCTAACACTAGCAAAGATAAAGCACCTTATCAAGAAGGGTCTAAATGAGCAGCTCTTGAATCTGACAGCAGCAGCCATACTTGGTTTTTGTTAGTCCTCTGAAACTTTAGTGTATCACTTTCTTGAGAATGATATAGCATAAAAATGTCTCTTTGGCATCAAATGTTAATAACATTTTCTTCTTTGTTGCAGAAGACATAAATGAGAATCTCCTGTTCTGAGCCTGGCTGAACAGAATCCCAGTGCTGCACTAAAACTGGTGAAATGGGTGAATCCCCTTTATTTCTGTAATTAACAACTTCATAGTTTTCAAGACAAAAGTGGCATAAGGTTCACTGCATTCTTATCAAATAACACAAGTGCAGTAAAATTCTACGTGTATTAACAGCAGAAAAAATTAATTAATCTAAGTGGTTCATAGCTAAACAAGTGTTTTTCCCTCCCATGTATCCATGATCTCTTTGAACCAATAAATGTACTAACCTGATAACTGCACTGTTCACAAAACTCTGCAGTAGAATTATAGGATGTGGATTTTACTGTACACTGAAGAAAATTACCTTGAAATAGGATTGTTTATTTACTGTACTATCAGTTTAACATTCTGCATAGAAGTCCCAAATAAAATAGAAGTCTACTTAGGTATGTGGGTTTTGTCAGAACTTTGTCTAAGAGAAGTTAACAAGGCAACAGTTCAATTGAAATTTCATTTTAGATTTAAAGGAGGAGAAAACACTAGAGTATAGAACATATATACCAGTCCTTAAACCATAATTCCTAAAACAAATGAAAAAATCAGCACTTTCCAGATACTTCCCCAACCCCTTGAAACACAACAGTAATAGTAGCAATGCCACACAGCAGAATTCCTGAAAAAAAAACTGTGTAATGAGCCAATTGTATGAGTACAGTGAGTGTGGATCTGTGTCAAAAGATCAGCAACAGGCCCACCATCAGAGAGAGAGATGATATCACAGTTCCAACACCTCCTTATTCTCCTTAGCAGGCACATTCTTCCTTCCTCCCACAGAAGCACCAACTACTGCTGCCATTTTTCCTGAGAAAGAAACACTGACTATTTCTTTCACCTTCTCCCAACTTCTGCTTGCCTGAAGATAGGCACAAATTGGGCATAAAGAACAGGTCAGAATGAGATTATTCCTCAATCCCACTGACTTTGTGATTTTAAACCAAGTGCTTCACCCAAAACACTGCAAGCATGCTCTGCTGTAAGCAAGAAGCTTACCACATACTATTCCTACAAAGGAAGATCAGAAAACACCTTTCAGTTGAACTGTGTCACTTATCTGATGAGAAGAAAATGGGACTCAGAAATGCTGTTTTGGTAGCTCCAATAGTTGAAAGCCACTTGCCCCTCACTAATTTGCTCATGAACCAGCAAGAGCTGCTAATCCTAGTCCAACTCCAGCCTGAAGCCCTGCAAGACAATGAACCAAGCTACGGTTATTTTCAACACAGGAACTTCTTACAGAAACAAAAGATTAATTTCCCCACCAAAACCAGTTTCACTGACAGTTTCTCCCATTAGCCTGACTTGTCACCTACTTCACATTCTATAACATCACATAGCAGTGTACATAAACCAACCTGGATTGCACATACAAAAGCATATTCTCTGTGCCAAGTCAATTTGAAAAAGATTCTCTCTCTGGGACTTCAAATGTCTCAGAGAAAAAGTCATTTTAACACCATTTTTTCTGCCTGACTGCAGTCTATTGCTTATTTGCTCTTTCTACAGGCAGGAGTCAGCCACCTTAAAACTACCAAATATAGTTCACACAAGGACAACTCACAAGAGATTGACTTATTCTCCACTGAGGCTAAAGCTCACCATTGCTCTGCTCAAACCAAGTACTACAAGAAGATACAATGAAATTGAATTCATCAGGGCAAACAGGAAAGATTTTCCTTTAAACAGTCCAAGTTCTGCAGGGCAAACAACAACCACCAAGATGATTACAGCCATGGATATATGGAGCATCCAACATACTAAGGAGCAGATCAGCATCCTACCTGTTTTGAAGTTCTCAGTGATGCTGCCACATCTGCTTTTCCACTGCAAGACACAGGAAAGGAACATTTGCTAATGTATGCACAGAAAAATGCTAGTCACAAGTATGAGAAAATCTTTACCTCAACACTTGTAGTTTGCAATGGGGCAAGCACCACCAATATTTAATCTACAAATTATAAGAACATTAAGAGTAACAATGATAAATGAAAGCTAGTTTCCCCATCAGTAGTTACATCAGTAATTAGTTACTATTCTAGTTTAACTTATAAATATTTGAGTATTTAACATATTGGGCTGAGTGGAGAATGAATGGAGAGCAACCCTGAGAAGGACTTGGGGTGCTGGTGGACGACAAGCTCAACATGAGCTGGCAATGTCAGCAACTGTTGTGCAGCTCTTGTTTTCAGCATATATGCTACAGAAGACCCACATCAGCCTCCTGACTGCAAGTTACTCACATTACTTAACCTGTAAAAACCCAACATATTTTACAAGATGCTGCTTTAAGGCTGCTCTTCCAATCATCCTGTTTATGGCACAGTCACCCCAACAGCTGTACTGCCATAAGCAGTGAGAAAAGAAATCCAGATCCCAAAAATCTGTCATCAAGTTTCATCCTCCAACAGTTATCTTTTTAGACAGAGTTATCTTTTTTGACTTTCAAATGTGAATACCACCATAATGTAAACTAGAAAGAAATTAAGTGTGAAAACTCATCTTTCAACACAGAAAATCTTTGCAAAGACACGTTGAGTGTAACAACTCCGAAAAGAAACCTCACTTTATTATGTAGCATTTAAGTCATGATTCAGGTTACAATCCTACAAGTCTCACATCCCTTCAGGATTCATACTCCTGACAAGAAATCAGTGCACAAACACAGAGCTCAAGTGAACAGCCTCTGAATTACAACCCGTTAGAATCCCAGCGTTGCCATGCAAATCTGCTGATGTTATGAAATGGCTGCAAATAACCAAGACAAAGCAAAACAAGGTGACAGCTCCACATCCATCTCATTTCACACCAGCTGAGAAATCAAAAGCAGCAAGCTCAAGTCTCTGAAAAAGCCTCTATTTATCACTGCCAAGTGTTTTTGCCAGCTGAATTTTATGGAATTTTCTCTGAATTTCCACTGAAAAGGACAAGGTCATCTCTTTGAAAGCTGCAAAATGTATTCTCCACTTGATGCTCATCGGTTCCTCATTTCCATCACTCATGGCATTCAGGACCATGATCCTCACTCCAGTGTGCTCCCCGTTTCTCAGTCACAAGTTTAATGAAGTAGCTATGATTTGCATACAGCTTGAGCTTCTCACTGATGTCAACCCATTTCACCACTCCAGCATCATCACCTGCTTCCAGGGGCAAGTTATCCATTGTCTCACCTGTTCACAAAACAAGGAGTTAGGACATGCTATTGCATCTTCTCTCCTGCTTTTTCTTCTCAAATCTAATCAGTTCTGTCCTTCCACATGACTCCCTCACAGGCAGTAACCTTCAGATGCTTCACAGAAACAAACCATTTCAGTTGCTCACCAATTCTGTGACAGAAACCTTTTTCACACTTGCACTATTTTAAAGCAAATCTGAGTGGCAGAGGTGGTGTTAACTCCTAGTCACCACTCCCAGGGTATCATCAGCAACATGACAAGTTGCTAGAAACAGTTACGACAACATGTACTCGCTACCACAAGTTTAGCCAGTCCCTCTGCATTGATTTTTGTCTGTTTATTTGGCTAATATTTGACTGCTTTCTTTCTCAGCTACTATTCTACAGGACAAACTGAATTCTGAAACTTATATATGCTTATGGAAAACCAAAATCATTAACATTTTACTCAAGACTCCAAAAATAAAAATAAGTACTTAAGGAGGGATACAGAAAGGATTCCAATTTCTCTCTGAAGTTTCTTACTCTGTTTCCAAAAAGAATCCAGCCAGAGAAATGCTTTTAAAAGTGTTACAAAATGTGTATTAGAAATGACTAAAGGAACGGTATCTTCACCCTCTGTGGAGATAACTCAACACTGTTTGCTGATAACTCAAGGACCAGTGACATGTGAAACTTCACCACTGTTATCTACTATCAAAACACAGTGGAAATGTCACTATATGAAATCTCTGACTTGAACAAGTCAGACACCCCTAACTAGATTGATTTATCTTAAAAAGGTATCCAGGATAACAGATCAATTTAAGAACTAGAATTGTATGCCCATTCCTATTGATTTATAGAAGTAAAACAAGGTCCAACAATTACTCTGGCAAAGTAACAGAGATAACAGGTCTCAGAGCAATTACAACATCAGAGCAATAAACACAGTGAAAACCTGCCAGCAGGCAGAGGCAACGCTCCTGAAGCACACACTAGCTACTAAAGGAAAAACTACAAGAGAAACAGCCTATTCATCTATCCCAGACTCATTAAAAAGGGAAATTAAACCAACTCAAGATAAAACTCGGTGCCAAAAAACCCCCCTTGTGTTCAATCTCCATATGAAGGCAAATGGTCCATAGCTTAGAACTAGCTACCAAATGAATAACTAATTTTCAGGCAAAATCCATATGTTCCTTATTTCAAGGCTGACAAACCAAACTGGAATGACAACTACCTGTCACTGATGAACATCTTGGGAAACAAGAAACCCTCATGCCTGTTAGTTTTAGTCTGATATTTTACACCTGACTTGCATGCTCCTGCAGTTTCATTGACAATTTCAGCCCAACATCCACCTCAACTGCACACTGACACGTAGAGTAAAAGGCAACAGAGAGCACACAGGGAGATACCCACCAGTTTCATCGTGATAGTTCACAGCTTCTGTCTCCATCCAGGCATTATCAGTGTTACGAGGGTCATCCACATATCCTCTGTACACCTAAGGCCCCCAACACACAGAAACCAGCTCAGTGTCACAACAAACAAGGTGGAATCAACAAGACTTTTCTTCTTTTCCTCCAATACATTTGCCTTTACAGAGTTTTCAGCAGTCCCTTCCATTTCCTACACCATGACAACCCCAGCATCACAGCTTATTTTCATTTCAGCTACCCTATTTCAAGTTCCATGCAGCTACAAGTTACATGCATAGCTCAAGAGGTCACCACAAGAGACAGAACTCACCACAAAGTGCTCCTGGCTGAACAGCTTGTGGAGCTGCTTCTCCAATTTTGCTTTCTCCTCAGGTGATTTCTGCAATGAGTTCAAGGCCTCCTCCCCAAATTCTCTCTTCAGGGTAGCACTAATCTTCTCCCCTGGGTCCACCATCCCCTTAAAGGGGGGAAAAGAAAAAAAAAAAGGTGATTATCCCTCGGATTCCACCTGTTTTTAGCTCATTTGACTAGTTCTTAGTATATTACATCCACCTGCATCATGCTGCAGACATGGGAGGAACTTTACACTTAGTTGTAAAGAGAGAAAATGCACATCCCTCAAAACCTGAAACAGATTAAATTGTGCATTAAGCAAGAGACATTTTGTCAGAATTAAATACTAACACTGCCTTGCAACACAACACAGCTGAAGGTGTACCAGCTCATGCTTGGGCAAAGCTAGTTTCAAGGAGCATTTCTCCCCACCTCTGCAACATGAGGTTGTTCATTAAAAAGCACACTTTTATCACACACACACACACCCCCCAGTTATTGCCTTACCAGCAGGAAAATGCCTATGGTCTCTGGAGCTTTGCTCTTACCCCTGGAATGGCCCACTCCCCACAGTCTCTCCTCTTGATAGCTACAAACTGCAAGATGTTTTTGCCAGTAACTGGATGAGCAATTTTATTGCCACTTCTGTCCCTCTTCCACCTGCAGCAAATGACAAATGAGAACAGGCTTTGCTGCTGCTTGACACAAGGGCCTGGGAGAGGAACAGCGAGGGGCCCGTGCTGTCACCTCTAAACAAAGATAAAATAAAACCAGCATTTCTTTTACTTTTAAGGAAACAACTCAGTAGCATCAGTAGCCTTCTGCAAAGGGCAATAATTAAAATGCATTAGGGTGATTTTCACAATGATTCTGTCTTCAGCATGGCACTTCCTAGCTTGCACCTTTGTAACTACACTATCTTTCCTGAATTCTTTCTTTCTCTAACATAGTTAGCATGTACACACAGATTTTGCTGGCAAAAGGACCATTAAAACAGAGCATATACTGACCAAAAAAAAGTACCCTAACCTCACCTCCTCCTACTAGGACAAGTTAGTATTTCTTACAGAGCAAAAGCAGACACACTGCTTTTTTTTTGCAGTTGAGTCATTATGACTCAAAAACCTATTCCTGCAATTTAGCATTTAAGGCCTTTTGGCATATCAGGTACACAATATCCAAGTATCACATAATCCCTTCTGGTTTTACATTCATTATTGAATATTATTTGTAAAATACATTTCTATTGAATTACACTTCCTAGGTTGTTTGGTTGTTGGTTTTTTTATTTTAAATTTGCTTCCCCAGCATTTCAGAAGCAATTGTTTGTCATTAGCAGTGGGTCCTTATTCTTTTCCAGAGACAAAGATCAGAAAGTTATGAAATTCATTCATATATCTCTCCATTCAGATCTGTATATCTGTATATCTGTATATCTGTATATCTGTATATCTGTATATCTGTATATCTGTATATCTGTATATCTGTATATCTGTATATCTGTATCTGAATGCACTTATACACAGAGGAACACACACACAAAAGGCCTGTGGAAAGTAATAACCTGTCCAGAGAAGCACAGAGGAAACAAAATGCCTTATTTTTTTGCTCTACTGCAGAACACCTTTCAGTCACTCATCCTCCCTTACCTAGTCACAACAGGATCAGCAGCATGGTTTGGTCCCCAGCGCCCTAACAATCCTCTGCCTGTGAGGCCAGTCCTTCCCACTGGATTTCTGAAATCAATGGCACAGTATATTAAATATATTTACCTCCCCACATACAAAATATGCTCCAGCTACTGTAAAAAAGCAGCTTTGAACAACAACAGAGGAAAGGATATCAACATACATTCGGTGCCACCATAGGCTTTAAAGAGCAAGAGAGACAAAGCATTGTTCTCTCCTTTAACAACCTCTTTTTGTGTTTGATAGTAGAGAAAAAAGGAAATATACAAAATGGCTTTGTCATTTCCCAGACCTCACATCCTGAGATGAGGATCTTCTCTGATCATTACCCATCAAGTGATACTCTCATTGTGCACACAACCTCGTCTGAAGATGGAATCTAGTTTCCAAGACTACAGATGCAGAGATTATTCAATTACATACTAATGGCAAAAAGAAAGTAAGTTATTTTTAGGTGAGATTATCCATCTGTGCTATGCCAAGATTTGTCAGTGGAAGGAAAGACTCTTCCACTCTGCACACAAGTGGTACAAAAGCTTCAGAGCCCAACACCTGCTCAAACTGTGGAAACAATTAATTCAACAGATCTTACTGTTAACAGTGTTAGACCTCCCCCAACTCCAGGGTCACCACAACCCCCTGTTGTGATAGCACTGGCTAACCTTTTAGTGCCTCTCAGCCACAACTTCCTTCCAAAAAGAACTCTCTGGCCCTGAGGTATCATTTTTCCTGTCTCTAGGGAAGACTGTCCTGATTTTGTTTTAGCAGGTACCATGTATCAAAACCAACAGACCTGTAAGAGCTCTGAAATTACATCACCGAAATGAATACACAAACAAAAACCAAACCACACTCACCGGGGCCTCCCGTTTTCAACCACATACAAGTCACTCAGGCTCCTCCTCTCCACTTCTCCATCTCTCTCATTGAATTTGGGAGAAAAACCTTCATCACTGTGTGGAAAAGTGATAATAATTTAAAAGAGATAAGTTCCAAAATGCAAAGCACCCCACCACCAGACCAGCACCACCCAACTGACCAAGGAGCAGTTTTGACCAGAACTGAAGTTGCAGGCCCTCCCTTTTCTATAGGAGGCTATAAAGTCCCAACCTTCACTGATGACAGTCTCCCTGTATTTAGTTCTGCAGACACAAGTGTGCCCCTTTCAAGTATTTAACATTGTGTCACTCTAAATTTTCATTGAGATCAAGTGTTTCAAAGGTGTTCTCATTAAGGTTAAAGAACACAGAAGGAAGTTATCCATTGGTAAAACGGAAAAAGATTTTGCTAATTAAAAAAACTGAGCAGCAATTCTTATTAAATATGATTTATCAGAGTTACAAGTTAATAAAAATCACTGATTTTCAAAATTAGCTTAATGCCAATCTCCTAAGTGCACCTCTGATAGAAGCAGCTGGTATAGAAGCAGCTATCTACAGAAGCATGTATAGCCTTTCCCAAAAGCAATTCCTCTGAAACCACCACAGGCTTCAAACTACTGACTTAGCTTCTTCCACACATAATTCACTTAGGAAGCTACACTAATAACTAAAAAAATGACTGAAAAAGCCAGTCAGTCAGTCTTTTTCAGGCTGAAAAAGAGAAGGCTCCGGGGAGATCTTATAGCAGCCATCCAGTACCTGAAGGGGCTACAAGAAAGCTGGGGAAGGACTTTTCATAAGGGCAGTTAATGACAAAACAAGGGGAAATTGGTTTAAACTGAAAGACAGGAGGTTTAGATTAGATATTAGGAAGAAGTTCTTCACTGTGAGGGTGGTCAGACACTGGAACAGGTTGCCCAGAGAAGCTGTGGCTGCTCCTCCCTGGAAGTGTCCAAGGCCAGGTTGGATGAGGCTTTGAGCAACCTGGTCTAGTGGAAGGTGTCCCTGCTGATGGCAGGGGGGTTGGAACTGGATGAGCTTTAAGGTCCCTTCCAATCCAAACCTTTCTATGATTCTATGACTCTGCATTTTCAAGGGTTACCAACATCTACTACAAGATTACCTGACACTTTCCCCAGCTATGCCTGGGCAGAACATCAGCCTTCCAGAGTCTGAGCCTTGCAATCAGCACAACACTAAAGCACATTAAGATTTAACAGAAGCACATGTTCACACAGCAATGGGAAATGAGGAAAGTAAGGCTGACAACCTCAAGTGCCATTATCTTCTGATCTTTCTACACAGATGTGCATACACAGGAATCATCATTTCACATTATCACAAGTTACACTAAAGGCAGCATCTAACTTCCTAGCCAAGAAGCGTGCAGCACTCCTTGAGAGGAGAATATATTCACAGAATCAATTAAAATGAATACACACACTCCCAAAAAAATAATTAGTCATGTATTCAACCTGCCACGTTTCCTGAGTCAGAGCACTCAACTCCAGATCTACAACTCTGCTTTAATTCTTTTTCTCATCTGGCATTCAATTAATAAATAAACAAGTATATTACAAAAGTGTTTTCACAAATTCTTAAGGAGCATGAGGAGATTTTTACTTAGCTCACAACTCAGAGAAGCAGCACTACAGAGCACCAACAGCTGTCTGTTATTCCAATTAACACTACCCTTATCTCCATCACCAGCTCAGTAAAATCACGTGTCCCAAGACCCTCACAGCTAACCCAAACCCTTCAGTTCTCTAACCATCATTTTTCTAGGTCCCCACTTTTCACACATCACTGTAGGATCACATGTCACTGAAGCTGATGACCTTATTAACTCAGCTGATCACTATTTCCTGTTTCCATGTTCACAAGAGAAAAAGAGACACAATTTCCACTCACTTGATTTGGGGATCTGCCCAACTGGGTCCTGCCAAAACAGACCTGGAAGTGTACTCCACAGGATTGTAATCTTGCCATTCAACCTGCCAGTCCACTTTCTCTTCAGGAACACGGCTACGCTCAATGTGTGATCCTGGATACGGTGAGGTGAGAGCTTTGCTGTGGTAGAACTTCACATTGTAACTGTTAAACATGTTCACAGGACGAGGATGGGACCAACAGTTTGCAGAGAAGTTCCTGAAAGGAAAAAAAAGAGAAAAAAGCATCTAATTTATTAGGCTTTAACCCTCTTATTTAATCCCAGATCTCCACAGTACATTATATCAAGAACAGACCGGGCTTGTTCCACAAAATAGCTCTCAGTAATGTATTATTGCTTCTTTCAGACATCATGCAACTGTATTCCTGGACCACCAAATTCTGAATTTTACCTTTAGCTCCTTGAAGCAGAAGATTACTCAATACACATGAAGATTTCACAGCATGAATGAGAAGTTGAGGACTAGAACTGCCATTCCAGACTGTGTGGAACACTGACCAGTTATTAATCATAGAGAAGAAACATCTCCAAAGATATTAACCAGAAGTGCAGCAGGAAGGACTGCTTGAGCATTAAATCTCTGCGTGGGCATTTCATCACAAAACCAAGCCAGCCTTACAAGAGTCCTGCTCTCACATCCCATGGCAGACCAGGTAAGAAGGAAATATCTAAGCACCTGAGAAACACAGCTCTACAAGTTGCTGTGACCACCAAAAAACAGTTCTGTGCAATACTGAGTAGGATAATATATACACCTTGATTTTTCAATTTCAAAGAAGGCTAGAATTAGTTAAGTTAAAAGGCATAAATACTTGAGGTGTTTAGTGACTTGATTTTGCTGTGGGTTTTCAGGAACTGAAGGCCCAGTCAACAATAAAATACTTCACAGCAGATTGGGTTACAGGTCCTGATCACCAGCTCTTAAAAATCTCTCCACAAAGTTCCTTCAACACACAAAGCAGCCTTCCTGTAATCATTTTTTATTTTTACTATTACAAAAACAAAGAGGATTACTCTGGACAAGAGGCTCAAAGATCAGCAAAGGGCTATAAGCTATGAGAGTACTCTAAAAACAAGATATTTATAAGCTCTTAGTGAAAAGCTTTTAATTTTTTTTTTAAATCAATAAAGAATCACTTCCAGCATATAAGGAAATAAATCTCCTCAGCAAAAACGCATCCAGGCTTTATCAATTTAACATCTGAGTAAGGTGATCACAGAACCAATAAAAGAACAGATAAAAAAAGCAATTCATACATCAAGTATTAACCCTGTTATTTGAACCCAGGTGTGACTGTTAGGTTATAACTAGCAGAAGAGGCCAGGCTTTTTCCAAAACAGCAGTTCCAGTTCTAAACTCCTCACTCACAGTATGAAATCTTCAGGTGCATCTAGGAGAGCAGGTTCTGCTTCACACAGAAGTTGAGAATTCACTGCTCTCCTGTGCAGTCATATTCACTGCTGAGGGGATGGTCTCAAGAGGACAATTCCACTCACAAAGCACTTCAGGCTGATAAAGTCTTTAACAGAGATGAGGAAAAGGACATATTTGATAGGGTGCCAACCTCCACACCAGGACAACGATACATCACATGTCCATAATGTCCAGTTTAATGGACAGCCTAATTATTGTTTCTGCCCTGTCCAAAAGGGACACCCTCAGCTACACAGCACGTCCTGGACTGAACACCCCTCGGCTGGCAGGGGACACTAGGGCAGCGCCGAGACCTCGGCCCAGCAATGAGGCGGCTGCTCCCTCGACAACAGGGCACCCCCTCAACGGGGCCAAACCCCAGAATTCGGGCAAGTTCCGAGACCCAGGAGCGCTGGCCCCAGCCTGACCCGGGCCCCCTCCAGCTTCACCGTC